ACCGCTCAGGGAACACCAAGGAGTGGGTGCCAGGAGAGGTGTGGGCCTGGCTATTGCCAAGCACCGACCTTGAAGCCAAAACGCATTCCTTTCCAGACACCCATTCTATGCTACCCTATTCTGCAGAGAAAAGCGCTTGCAGCCCACAGAAACGGGGTGGGGAGTTGATTGGCCCAGGGGGTGGGTGCCATTCAGGCCCGCTCCCCAAATCCCCACCCTCCAGTTCAGGCCTGGGGCGGGCGGCAGGGTCACAGGGGAAGACTGGGAAGCACACGCCCACCCCAAAGTCCGAGGGCTTCCAAAAACTTGGACGATCTCAGCCATGTGCTGGACAACCTACCCCCACACCCCCTCCCCGCACGCCCAACCCCGAAGGTGGGGGCAGGCTAAGTCCTGGTGGGGAAATTCCACGTGCAGCGTCCACAGGGCACAGCCACCTCCCGGCCCAAAAGCAGATTCATATTCATGAGAGCGATAAATAAAGACAGATCCCCACTGTAAGCCACTTGGATTCGCATCCGTCTCTGCCGGCCTTTAGGTTTTAGGGGACTGGAGACAGATGCTTGCATCTCTTTTCTCCTCTTGTCTGGTGACCGTAAAGAAAAACCATTTAGAGCGTGGCCATTTGTTTGCCGCCGCAGTAAAACCTCGCGCGCATTCATTTTCATTTCGCCCCCGTGCACAAAAAAGTGCACACTGGTCACCAAGGGCCCTTCTTTATCAAATACGCATTGTACAACATGCAACTGCAATAAAACCATCAGCCCTCCCCATAAAACTATCAGCAGGTTCCTCGGCCGCCCGGCTGCCTGCACTCGCGCCAGCAGCGCTTGCTCACGTCCCGAGGACGCCCCATCACCTGAAACTCACCCGGCGGAGCGGCGCGGGGCTGGGGGGCCGCTGTCTTGGTTTAATCCATTGCGGCGTCCGTTGCAGTTTAGTGCGCAATAAAACACCGTGGCAGCGGAGAGCGGGCGCCCATCCACTCCCCGGCACTAGCATCGAATTAAACCACTTAGTTTGGCAAACACTGAACGCCTAAATGCCCCTATAAAGACTTTATGAGTTTGTTACTTTAATTACTGACTTGTTACAGAGCACATAAAGGGGGTAATGAATGCAATAAAACTAATTATCTACACATTTAATTCATATAAAATATCCAGGGTTTGTTTACACCACACGGCGATTCAACTAAGCATTCCCCCTCTTGTCCACCGAGAGGAAGGATTTAATGAAATAGTTTCCCTTATTCTGCTAGAGCCTAACGAACCAAATGAAAATTACCCTCCGCTTAAATCATGGGGCCACCGAGGTCCACAAATCACCGTTTGCAGAATTCTTTGTTTGCCTCCCCGCTAGCACCCATAGAGCCTGAGGAACTGGACAAGCAAAATGCCCAACCTAGCACCTGGGCATTTAAAGAGTAAGGATTCTCTCACTGTAGTCGGTGAACCTAAAAGGCAAACAGACAGCCATCCTCGGGTCTGTGGGGGGTGCTGTGAGCACCTAAAACAGTGGAGGCAGAAAAAAAGAGAGGGAGAGCACCCTAGAGGGGTGGAAAAGACACATTTGGGGATATTGCAAGTTCACTTGCTAGTTAGGGCGTCATTAAAATGAACAGCCGCACAGAACCCCCAAACCAACAAAATGCTAACCTCACGCTAAGGCAGAAAGACAGAGCTGAGCGCAAAGAAGCCATCGTTTGAGAATTCAGATGATTTACATTCAAGAGCATTGTTCTTCTATTTGTTTTTTAAACGACGGTGTAAGCTGAGTGTCTAGAAAAGCACATGAAGCCGCGACAAGAAATGCAATTTATAAGATGCTCTTTTTTAAAAACAACAACAACAACACCCTCTACCAGGTGTATTTTAAAGAAATTCGCTTATCGTTCACATAAACCCCCTTGGCTCACTTACTCTATGTTACAGGGCGCCTGAGTCTTGCCAATGTCCCAGTCCTTTATAACATTTCATGCACTTCGGGGGGTAGGCTTGTTGTTAAATTGAGCGTGTAACGCTCTTACAAAACAGGTTTTCTATGACATCAAGGTTTCTGCTTCCTAACCGAGGGGGGAAAAAGAGGACGAAGAAGGGGGAAAACACACACACACACCATCTCAATTTATGCCTAAGGTATATGATCAGTTAAAAAGGCTTAAAAGCTCGGGGAAATTGGATCAGGGAGAATCGTCACCCAACTTTCATTATTTCCAAGTAGTGTGATTGAATTAAAGGGCAGGGAGCTGGTTAGAAGGGAGGATCAGGGGCTCAGTGCGTAATGGTGTGGTATTAAATTCTAATTAGAGATGCAGGAATCAATGATAGGGAGGTTGGACAGCTCAGTTCCCCAGTGCCAGCCCAATAGACGGATGAGTTATTGTCATGTAAAAAGCGCCAGCAATAAGACCAACCGCTTTGCTATTGTCCAAGTGGAAAGAGCCAAGTTTATTATGAGGACTATATGCTCTAGAGACCTCAGACAAGGCATCTCATAGGAGGCTTTTTCATAAAACTAGGCTCTGCTGGTAGTAAGGAGGCCAGTTTGGAGGCAGGCGTGGAGCTGTGCACATCTCCCCACTCCAGCCACCTTCTCCATACCCATCTTTTATTTCATTTTTCCACTTGGCTGAGCCATCCAGAGCCTTTTCAATGTATAAAATGGAATATTCTTACCTCAATTCCTCTGCCTACGAGTCCTGTATGGCTGGGATGGACACCTCCAGCCTGGCTTCAGCCTATGCAGACTTCAGTTCCTGCAGCCAGGCCAGTGGCTTCCAGTATAACCCGATCAGGACCACTTTTGGGGCCACGTCCGGCTGCCCGTCCCTCACGCCGGGATCCTGCAGCCTGGGCACCCTCAGGGACCACCAGAGCAGTCCGTACGCCGCAGGTAAGGACCGCCAGCTTTCTCAGCGGAGGAAGCTGCCTTTCCGCCCGTATATAGGAAGCCTTGATTGCATTTGAAAATGGAAATGTGTTTAGTATTTACCAAACGAAATTTGCTTACACAAATGAAAGAATTTATCACGTTAGAAGCGATTGCAGGGAGGGGTAATTCACTTACAGGGTTACACTATCCTAGTCACACCCGAACCGCCAACAAAATTATCTTAAGCTGCCAAAATGATAGGCATAATTTATTTACTTTGCGATGAGACGTAAAGCTTAGAAAATAATTAAATAACAAAGAGTAAAGCTCATTACTGGCAGTGTCTCTTTTTTTAAAGAACCCGACAGCGGCTCACACCTCTTGGGCTGGTCATTTTGAGGATTACTTCTTTAATTTATTATTGTTATTTTTGCAGCACTTTCCCCCCAACTTTTTGGGCTGGGTCAACTCCTGAGAATGGAAAAGTTCCAACCGCGGGAGCGTTTGGTAACGTCTTCCCTGGCTCCTTGATATTCCCACTGAGGTTTTCGGACTTTTTCCCTCTTCTCTCTTTTCTTCCCCTCATCAAAGCGTTCTCCCGCGCCCTGGCTCTCGGGGGTCTCTGATGCTGTAGGTTAACACACCCAAAGGCGCTTGTGCCAGGAGGGCCCTCGCCAAACCCCGCAGTTGGCGCAATGTCTGTATGTAACGAATTTTTCTCGGCAGCTCGTCTCGGCCTCTCCCCCGCTCTGTTGTCGGTGGCGGCCCCGGGGACACCTGACCTCGAAGTCCCCACCGCCCGGCTCCGCGGCCCCCGCGCGCGCTGCAGACCGTTTTGCTCACACTCCGTCCTCTTTCTCGCCTCCAGTTCCTTACAAACTCTTCACCGACCACGGCGGCCTCAACGAGAAGCGCAAGCAGAGGCGCATTCGCACCACGTTCACGAGCGCGCAGCTCAAAGAGCTGGAGAGGGTCTTCGCCGAGACGCACTACCCTGACATCTACACCCGGGAGGAGCTGGCCCTGAAGATCGACCTCACGGAGGCGCGCGTCCAGGTACGCGCTCCCGGGACACCACCCGGCTGGGGCGTCCGGGGCTGGCTGTGGGCGCGGGAGCGGGTGGTGCCTCCGAAGGTTCAGGGCCCGGGGCCTCTCTCTCTCTCTGGAGGGGCCCGCGGCTCAGGGCTGAACAGAGAGGCCGGGCGTGGAGGGCTGTGCGCGAGAGGAAGGGCCTGGGCGCACGCTCCCGGCTACACACGTATTCACAGCTGCAAAGTGTTTGCATCCGGGCAGTGCCCTTTGGGGAGATGCGGGCGCTGCCCGCATATTATAAACATATGTGTTTGCTAAATGCCTCCTAATCCACGCGCTTTTAACTTGGAGCGGGCGCGTACAGGTGCACTTTCCGGGGAACGACGACTTGTATCAGGTTCGCAAAGGGGCTTCGACTCCATGAAGGTCAAGAACCAAGGCTTTCTCTGACCTTCTAGGGACAGGGCTCTCTCCAGGGGAGCCGGCCAGTGGAGGGGCAGTGCGCACCTGCACGCGCGTCTCTAGGCCCAAAGGTCAGGATGCGAAGCGAGCGCCCAACCCAGAGACCCCTCCTCCCACCAATTAGGGTTTATTTAGCTTAGACTCGAGGCCGAGGGCCGCTGGCGAGTTTGGAGTAGCTCAAGGAATAGACTGAACCAAGGTCCGACAAAGTAAGGGCTTTTATTTAAGGCCGTCCTGGGACCGGCCGCCTTTTGACCTCTTCTGTAAGATTCCGTTTCCTTGGCACGTTCAAGTCGCCCTAAGAAAATTCCTCCGAAGATGCACCAGCAACAAGGGGGTGGGAGCAGACGGGGTGGACTGGGTGCGCGTGGAGGGTACCCGCGGGGCGTGGAGTTGAAAAACGAACTCAAATGGGCCGTGCACCCTCCTAACTCGCGCTTTTCTTTCCCGGGGTTTCTCTCCCCCCTGCCCCTCCGCCTCCCCTCCCTCCCGGGCCAGGTGTGGTTCCAGAACCGCCGCGCC